AATGCTTCGAGTGCAATCTCGTCACATTTACCGGCTACCTCATTTTCAGCAGTTACTAGGGCTGGAGCTACGAGGCGTCAAAACGTGGAAAGAAGGTAAGTGAGGATACGAACGCATCGTCTGGGTCCACCTCCATCGAACGGCCAAAGTCACGCCTTGCAACACTCGAAGTTAGCCATACAGCCAGTTCTTCTAGCACTGTAAACGTCACAATACCTAGTCAAGTAAACCCGGAGCCCCATGCTATTCCCGGCGCTCGCCCAGACACCTCAGTGAGAACCACTAGGAAGAAACGTCAAGGAGCAGGGCGGAAGCGTCTGGAAAACCACGTGGACATCATGACAACCACCACACATGTGCTCTCACTGCTATTAAAAGTGATGCTGCCTTTGAGTGTAACAGCTGCAACAGATGGGTGCACTGCCGAGGTGGAAAAGAGGTGCCACATCAGTACCATAGCCTCATGACGCGTCAACCGTGCACGTGGTTTCGGTACATCTGCCCATAGTGCCGTCTGAGACCGCACCTAGCTTCAAGTCTACTCAGAGTAACCGATACGTCTCCAGTAATCAAAAAGCAGGTATCCGTCCAAACCACTGTCACAGAGGATGTTCACTCTCCAGATGATTTTGACAAAGGCCTACCGAAGGTCAAAAACCTGAGAGGTTCTAAGCCGAACAAAACACTGCCTACAACAACGACAACTGCATCCGCCTCAGGCCATGGAGCCACACTAGAAACAGCAACCAGCGGACAACATAAGGAATGGGTCAGGGTGGAGAAAAAACTCGAAGCACCCGTGAAAAAGCACCTATAGGATTGGATAATGTTGGCATCACTGACCGATCTAGTTCTGTCACTCTGTTTAACGCTCCTGTCTGCGGTGATAGCCTTCTGGAGCATAAGAAAAAGCTAGACAGGCAGCAGTGGGACTCCCTCTGTGCCATGCTAGGTCTGGGCGCTCTCGAGGCAAAACTGTGCGGGCTTTACAAACGCACCCACTCACCCGCCGGGGAGCCTCCACCGATGACAGTGACCCGAGACTCAACTGTCACACACCCTGGTCATCAACAGATCGTCCAAAACTAGGGCTAGACCTGACCGAACATGGGTGTCAAGAAAGACGTCTAGAGAAGCAGCTGGTCCACTGAAACCCACAACCATGGTCGTACATGGAGTACCTGAAATGGTGACCGATACCCCAGGTGAGAAGTGCACACACGACGTCAAACAATGGGAGTGGTTATCGGCTCAGATGGAGCTGAGCGGGGTTGCAGCTGCAACAAGTAGCAGACCACCATGCCCCTCGCATCCGACAACCATGACCTCACCTAGACTAATGGCTGTGAACTTCGAATCCCCAGAAGTACTCAACAGAGTGCTGGAGACGTGGTACAAAGTCAAGAGCACCATCAGCGGTGACGTTCGCTGCTGCGAAAGCGGACCGAGAACACTGCGACAACAACAGACAGTGGTTACGCCCTGTGCTCAGGCCACCGTAACCCTAAACCGAAACGTTGGGGGTCAGACCAGCAACCTCTGCTCAACACCGAATGCACTAGTCGGCGAGGGAAAAAACATCCAAACCACGGCCACTAGCTAACTCAGAGACATCTCACGTCACGAGGAGCACCTCCAAGTGTCTCTACAGCAACCTGAGAGGACTCCGAAGTAAAGTACCAGGGCTCCGATCCCCCTGTCCCGACCCCGTCCAGAAAGCCATGATCCTGACAGGAACATGGTTGTCGCCAGACATAAGTGACACCGAAGTTAACGTAGACGACATGATTCTGTTCAGGAGAGACAGAGAACATAGGGACGGAGGGGGGTTGCAATATACGCGAACAAGTGGTTCAGGAGTGAATAAGCCACCGACACGGTACTGACAGAGCTCCCAGACTCTATCCGATGCCACTTCACGTTCAAACGCACTAAATTCTTAGTTGGAGGAATCTATGGGTCCTCTAATAGAGGTCTGGAACACAACCAAAAACTACAAGCAATATCCGCAGTTTCAACTGTGGGGTAGGACCAGATTTTAATAGCTGATGACTTCAACGCTCCAACCCTCTGCCTAGAGTAAGGTGGCGTGACCCCGGGCCGGAAGTTTGATTGCAGCCTGCTAAATGCCACCCAAATGGCTGGACTGCAGAAAACAATCAGCGACAACACTCGCTGGGGGTCAGATGGGAAACCATCTAAACTGGATTACCTACTGACTGGTGGGCCCCTTCTGGTTGAAAACATTCAGGCGCAAACCCCTCTTGGAAGTGGCGATCACGCCATGGTAATATTCAATCTGGTGATCAGTGAAAAATCATCATAGGGGGGACCTCGCCCTCACCTATGTTACAACAAGGCAAATTGCGGAAGTATGAACATAAGCCTATCAACAGCTCCGTGGACAGTGGATTGGTGTTTCCCTATCGATCGACCAGCACTGGTAACCGGTGAAAGATATCATTACGGTGGCCATCTCGCGAAATGTCCCTTTGGTGGTGACAACAACCTCATGACTAAAACGGGGCACTAAGCGCCTTCCAAAAGCCAAGAGAAGGGCATGGCACACATGGAGACTCTCCAGGGAACAGGACGACCACGTCGCATATATGACTCTACGGAGTCGAAGCAACATCAGGGTGCCGGGAAACAAGACGTTGTTCCAGTCCAACCCCTCCGAAAAGCTCGAGGTAAGCCCCAAAGACCTTCACCGATTCATGGCAATGAGAAAATCAACAAGCCAAGGAGCATGCGTTATAAAAGGTCCGAACGGAGAAAACCTCTCTGGACAGGAGATTGCCGAAACGTTGAGCACCGCATCTGACACACAGTTCAACGTTTTATCAAGAAAGTGAGCATACCAAATGCACGAACAGCCCACAACGTTACCCAATGCTGTGGAGTTACACGAAATGCAGATAACTGGCGCTGTTGTTCTCGACAAGCTACCAAAGCCAAAGCGGGAAAATGCCCAGGGTGCGACGACATTCGCCCATCTGTGTTGAAAGAATGTGCAAGTACCCTAAGTGGCCTACTCTGTAATCTCTTCCAACACTGCTTGGACAAACGAAAGCTCCCACTAGAGTGGAAACGGGCTATCCTTTCTCCCATCTTCAAAGGAGGAGACAGGCAGAATCCCAACTGTTATAGACCCATAGCACTTCTACCAGTAATATCAAAAGTTATAGAGAGTGTGACGAACGACAAAAAACAGGCACTCAGTGACGCTCAACATGGCTTCCGGAAGGGTAGGTCCTGTGCCTCCAACCTGCTGACGGCCCATGATCACTGAACAGTATGCTGGGATCTCAAGGTCCCGGTCCACGCAACTTTTCTGGACTTCGCCGAGGCCTTTGACACTGTCTCACACCATGTCTCAATACATAAGATAACTGGGTTAGGTATACGCAGTCAGGTGCTATCGTGGCTGCAGAACTACTTGGACAATAAGGAGTTCCACACGAAAGTCAACAGGGTCTTTTCAACTTGGGGAACATTTTCATCTGATATCTCACAAGGAGCAATCCTGAGTCCGCTGCTGTTCTTACTGTTCGTGAATGACCTGCCGCAACGTTTCAGCTCTCCGATTCTCCTATACGCTGATGGCGCCAAGTTATGGAGGGCAATAACTTGCGAAGCGGAATCTGTGGCATTACAGAACAATCTCAAAACACTAGAGGAATAGGCAGCTAATGACAAATTGGCATTTAACGCTGATAAGTGCCGGTCCGTGTTTTTCCTCACTCCTGATCCCCAGAAAGTATCCTACTATCTCTGTGGTTCATGTCTATCCCATACCACAGTAGAAAAAGACGTGGGTTTAGCGGTGATGAAAAAACTGGACACCAGTTCCAACTAACCAGGTGATGCCTCAGGAACATATGGCGTACTGCACTCTGTGCGTAGACAACTGGGTGTCCTCACCCCAGAACTCTTTCTGAAGCTCTACGAGACTTACGTACTGCCCCAATTAGAGGCCCATAACATCTTCGCTCCACCACAGCTGAAAAGTTGCATGAGCCTACTCTAGAAAGTCCAGAGGCGAGACACGAAGGGGGTTGTTGGAATGCAACGAAAACTATATGAGGATAGACTGAAAGACCTAGGCTTATACCCGTTTAGCCACCGAAGGTTGTGGGGTGACTCGATAGTGGCTTACAAAATACTGAATAACCCAAGTCACTCGGACAGAGGAATTCTGCCCAGCGGCCACTACGGGAATCCTCGAGGAAATCCCAAGTGAACGGCCCACTGCAGGCCAAAAACTCATGTGCGTTCACAGTTCTTCTGCCTCCGAGTCTGCGGGTTCTGGGACTAAGTACCAACAGAAGCGGTAGCCGCCCCAAATATTGAGAGCTTCAAGAAGAGGCTAGACAGTGAAGCAGTGACCCATGGCCTACCCACATATAGCTGGAACACGAACTGGTGTCAAGCCACCCCTACTATTTTAACTTAACAACCAGTTTTCTCACCACTGTAACTACTTAAGCCCCCTTCAACCCTTCCACTTGCCACAAGTTGGACTCACTTACCTAAGTTCTTTATACCTTTGCACCCCTATTCACCTTACTTAGGTGTAAGTAGATTACGCCATTAGTTCACTTTTCTTCCCCTCTTTTACTCACACAAACACTTCCTAGGTTTTCTCTTCGCGATCCCTAACCCTCTCTAGTGACCAATTCGAACAACTCTCTGGCAACTCGATAACTGTAGAAGCCAACTGCACCACAGTCCAAGGCAAACAAACCACCACTTAACTTCCGGTTCTGTAAATCGGAGCTATAGCAGACGAGTGGCTGAATCTACAGCATCAGAACGTGCCAAAGACCTGGAGCAGTTCCGCAAGATCAAGAAGCGAGCAAGAAGAAATCAACTAGTTTACACAAGCTCGCTTAAAAGATATTGGATATTGGAACATGTTTTTCAGGTTTTAAACTAAAGGCCTCAGATTTCGGAAGCGCAATCTTCGGAACTTTCATCTCAAGGTCGTACAGCTGTAAATGTCTGAGGGTTCCATGAGCAAGTGTGATTCTATTTCGCCAAGTCTCCCAGCAACTAATAAGAGGGGCCCTGTTGAAGCAAGCATCCTAGACTACGTTCTGTACGTGCACGCACCAAACTGCAAGAATCGTGCGGCTCTGATAGCTTTATTAATCCATTCAGAGCTGCTGTCACGTGGAGCGAGACCAACGGAGGCTTCTTTGTCAACAGCTATTCTCAACCCATCGTGTTTTTCCGAAGACCCTATCAGAATTTCCTACACGTTAATATCTCGTCCGAAGTGTGATGCGCTGTCAACATGTAGGCAAGTATGTGGTTTTGGCAACCTATTTTTTCTTTGTCTTCTGTTGGGTTTTGTCCCCATTGTGGTAACTGACTTGAAAGTAACTTCAAGATCATCTGTTTGAGCTGTTCTCAGTTGCAGTGGCTAGGTGTCCTCCGATTCCCACCTAATTGATATGTATCATTTACTGTCCTGGGACCCTTTGTGATTGGTTTTGTTATACTTTTTCTGATGTATTATTTATGGTCTTACTTTTTATGTCAGTCGCATAAGGCTCACTAATCTAAGCAGACAAATTCAAAACAGAATTTGGGAACATTCATCACAATTTTAAGGTTTGAAGTGACCTTTAGTATGATCGGAGTACATCTCCAAGTGTGATTTCTCGAAATGTTCTGCATATAGGTTCCCCTCTATTAGAGCTCCTAAAAAGGCAATCTTAGGCTACCTGAAAACCTACTAACAAGAATTTCCTAGGGTCATGCTTCACTAGCCTGCAGTATCCCGGTTCCTATGACTTTAGAGCGCAGTCAGGTAAACATTTCAAGTTCTTACATTGATATTATGTTCTTTAGACTTCATAACTTCTCATTCATCAGATGATGTGTATGTGGGAGACATGTTTACTACATATCACGAATGGATTCATGATAAAGGGACAAGGTGTTGTAGCCTTTGCATGATATTATTTAAGTCTCCATAATCTTGCATAACGTATTGAGGAGTACTAATTTCCTGCTTAGTGATTCTTCCAACTTTCACAGTCATTACTTCAGCATTATTTGTCGAAATGTAATGGACAGGTTTTTATCGCAAGCAACTATGTTGTACATTCTCGAACTTGACTGAGTAGCAATGGTTACTACTGTACTACTACCAACTGCTGTCATCTTTCCTCTGTACAGTTCTTTCAGAAGAATCATTCAAAATAACATTTTCCCAGATTTCAGGTTCTATAATCACCAGACACTTATCTAGAGATCAAGAAGAGTTAACCTTTGGAAGCCAGGCAGGTCTTAGATCTAGTCCACAGGTAGCGTTGACATTTGATTATCTACTAATGCTTGGTTTTATCGTGCAATACTTTTTACTTAGTGCATGTCCGTAATACATAGCTGTTGAAGGTGCTATCGTTAGACTTCAGGCATTCATTTGTTTTTGTCTTCGTAGAATCACGCGTTTGGAGTTCTAGCCGCCATGATAACCGATTGTCTATTAAGGGTCGCGCGTACTGCACAGTAGTCCGCTCTGTCGTACTGTATGGCTATGAAACATGGCCATTGAAGGTGGAAGACATGAGAAGGCTTTAGGTGTTTGACCACCGTTGCCTTTGAGGTATAAGCCGTATTCGTGGTGTCACCAAGTGAGTAATGCAGAAGGTGGGTGTAGAGTTTTAGGGAGTAGAGGTAAATCAATTGACACGGTTGTGAACCTTCATCGACTAAGATGGTTGGGACACGTCTTACCCATGCCTGGTCAGTGTTGGCCGAAGTAGGTTCACACTAGAAAAGAGCTCGAAGCGGCCAGACCAGAACATGGCATCAATTTATGAAGTCTTTGACTGTCGGTTTAAGTTATATGGGGTGATGTAGACTAGCCGACTGGGGTCCGCGGGATGAGAGGAACCAGCGGTTGGAGACTCTAGTTGATATGTCTCAGAATCGAAGTCATTGGCGCAGATGTATACACACATTATCCTCATCTTAACGCTATACCGAATTTCACCATTTTCTTGTTCTTCCTTTCTCTCTTTTGGTACTTTATATTTCTTTTGACTGCATTCTCTTATCTTCATCTTGCGCCTCACTTCCCTCTTACTTGATTTACTGATATGAGCAGTAGCAACTCAGACCACTGCGCAGTAATGCATGGTCCTATGTCGATAATGATGATAATCACCCGTTTGTCGTGGAACCACAGTGTGAGCAATACGAACGTTAGAAAAAGGTCTGCATAAAAGGAGTAAGTTAGTTCGCCTAAGATACAACTTGCGCGCCTAGATTGACAAAATTAAAAGCAGCTGAGCTAAAACATTGTTTCATTTTGTGAATTCACTGACTCGGTCTTATTCGTGTAAAAGAATGTGAACTTATTGGTCCCGATTTTAATTTCAGGTATATTAGTCATAATTAGGAGTTAGTGGTATCATTAAGTGAAAGGTGACTGATACTGACTGGCAAACTCAACATAGACCTCGCACACAAACACATTGGTTCAAATTGCCACACTTCACAACAGTATACAAAAAACAGGTGGATAGAAAAAGACATGTTAAAGTACATAAAGTAGGGTGAGAAAATAGGCAATTTGAAGATAAAGGTTTGTGTAACTGTTCGAGCTTTAGAAAATGTCAAAAAGTGAATACATCACCATTGTGACCGATTTTCAGCCATATCACCAAGAGTCGGTCCTCAATCATTGATTCCTATCATCTTGGGGATCGACCCCCGTCAGACACTCACAACACCCTACACTACTCAGACCAACAGTAAGAGTATTCATCGACTGGTGCCACATCTTGGTCTGGCCGCCCTGAATGCTATTCCAATCCAATCCAAAGTCCCTAAGCCCTTACACGGCTACGTGAGTTCAGTTAGAGAGATTTCTATAAAGTTATATACTTGCTCAAAATTCCGTTTAGTCAGACACTTCCACAACATGTCACATTCGACACAGTCAAATGCCGCCTTCTGATCATGAAGTATGGCAAGTGTCGGCCACTGGCGATAAGCGCCTGTGTTCCGGAACCTGTCGAAGGGTAGAACTATGATTAGTGCACCGTCATCCATGTCTGAAACCTACTTGGTTTTCCAAACTTTGCTGTTTTCGAGCTCTAGTTAGGCGTTGGATAACTATGGACCCCAGGATCTTAGACACAAGTCAAACTAATTCCCCTATAGTTAACACAAGAAGACTACACTCCCTTCCTATAGACTAGTATGATCCGGGAAGTACACTAGTCTGACAGCACTTTTTCTGATTTCCATAAACTACTTAGTACATCCGTCACTTTAATCAGCAATTCCTTGCCTCAATCCTTGAAAACTTCAGGTCGCAAACTGTTAGATCCTGCTACTTCGCTTCTTTTCAGGTTCGATACAGCTTTCTCAACTTCAAGTAGAGTTAAATGACTGATACCTACGTCCGAATAAGGTTCAGGCTAGATGTTATGCAACTGAAACTTTGGTGAGGGCCAGTTAAACGATGCTTCGATGTGTTCTGCCTAACGTTGTAAGTGCCTGTCCTTGGAAGTTATCAGCGTCCCATCCTTTTCGGTGATGGTTCCACTCACCATCGTCTTCTTGTTGCCTGTATTCTTAAGAAGCCGTAAATAGTTACCAAATATTACCCACCGCTGATGCCTTCTCCATCCCTCTCTTTCGTCGCCCACCAACACTTCGTGATCAACACGAAGACTCTTGGTCAACTTACGTTTAAGTTTCTTTCGCTCTTCATCGTGGTCAAAGTCAGCTGTAACCAGTCTTCGCGCATCAATCACTTCGGGTGACCTCAAAGAAATCCAATGACGTTTGCTAACCTTTGGGTGTAGGTTACAAATTGCCTTTTTCGCTATTTCTACAGCAGACTTAATAACACACCAGGTTTCTTCAGGATGAGCATTGCTGTCACCTTCAGATAAATGATTAGCTAACTCCTTTCTAAATGCGTACTTGGCGTCCTAATCTACCGATCGAGCATAGATGTGCCTCACTGCCTCCCGTCTCCTCCCACCAGAAAGACGCAGATATACACGAACCCGTCCTAGCGCGTAGTCGGAGTTCACACTGGTGCTCCAGAAAGAGTGGCAATGCTCCACCGACCCTCTACAACAATGGCTTATAGCAACATGATCTATCTATGTCCACTGTTGATTTAAAGTCGGCGGACATCATGTAAAACTGCCTCTCCTTTGCCTAAAATTAGTGCTGGCCGGAAACAAGTGGTTGTTGGGACACAATCACAACGCAACCACCGTCTTCGGTTGGTTAGCATGGGATTATGTAAATACCCCCAATATGCGTTTCCGATTGGCTCAGCTTCCCTACTTGAGCATTAAAGTTACCTACCGTTACGACTACATCTGAACGTCTTGCTCTCAGTAGCAAAATTGACAGCTTTTCATAGAATTCATCCTTTGCATCATTCGAACTGCAGTGGGTCGGCGCGTAGGCGGAGATTACGGGCAGACCTCACCTAGTCTCACGATCCTTCCTAGTCCTTACAGATGAACTTAATCGAACAGCACCTAGACGGCTGTTTACTGGTATCCAGTCGAGAAGCGCACTTTCTGCTCTACAACACAACTCTATGTCTACAGAAGCGAGTCCACGAGAGTTGGCCTGTATACGTGTTTAGCAGACAGCATAAATTCACGTCTAGGGATTCCAAAGTTTTGGTTGAGCGATGCTTGCTGTCCGATTTGGCATAGAGTTCGGAAGTTATAAGCTCCTGCATGAAATGTATGATGAGGTCTTAGGAGACTAAGAATGAGGTTTCGACGGCTTCGGCAATAGTTGCAAAATGAGAGGTTGGGTAAGGCGTAATAGACTTAATGTAAATATCAGGAGGTGAAGGCAAAGGAGAAGACAGTTGAGGTGGAAAAGTTATGTTTGGTTGGGTCTTGTATACTACTAGAAGCCTATAGGCGTTCCACTCTTCCCGACTACCCACACCATAGAAGGCTAGTTCTTCTTGAGGTACCTGTAAAAGAAGAGAGTGTGTGACCCCAAAGCCTATGGGATATCTGCTTGAGGGCGGTCACACGTGGCGTTTTGGTAACTTTAAGATTAGGGTTTTTTAAAAATCCAATTATGAATCCTTGTTGCAAGGATCGGCATAAAGCTAAAGGGTGTGGTGTGTTATTTTCGGTGTCGACCTTTTTTAACTCCACCTTCCAGTTTGGTAGACAGCATCAATGTGGCACTCCCGATCTTCCGCAGGAAATACCTTACTACTGTCACACCCCATCCAGCTAGTAGGTGCACGACTCTGCCCTCAAACCCCCATTGTAGTGTAATAATATACACTACAACGGTAATTGCTTTTCGTCTTGTCAGTATCCAACAAACCTTTCTGATATGGTGGAACCTCGAGGGAACAAACAATCCACCAGGATAAGTCGTTGGGTGATTTTGTTGTGCACGTCCGACCATCACGTCAAGATATCAGCTATCGGTCGTGAAAAGTAGAAATTGAATATTGTCTATCCATGTCCCATCGTAAATTTGCAGACAAAAGAATTTATCTTTTATATTAAACGTTATATGCAACATCATACTGGTGTTTCACACTTGTCATCTTTGTGGTGAAGCTGTTGTTTTCAAAACATGCGAATAAAATGAAGTAGGGTTTGGAAACATGCCTTAGTAGTGCCCAGTGCTCATTCAAAAATTCACCGAATATCATTACCAAGTTTATCTTGGGACTCAGTTCAGTCAACGTTACCATATGGATCGTTAGTCTTAGGATTCGACTCTCAAGCAACGAATCCAGGGCTCAAATCCTGTTCCAGTTATTTTGTTTGGGTAACAGTAGTATCACATCAAGTGTGGTTCATAGCCTTAAAAGCATCCCTTTTTAAGTACAAAATTATGCTTATGTATGCCCAAAAACTCGGTTTACACCTTTGCTGATCATCTCGCGTTTTTAATCGAATGAAGTCAAATGAGAATTTAGAAAAAAATACATAAATATGCTATAGGAATTTTTACTTAGTGTGCTCAACTCTAAAAATTCATCTGCCCTTAATAAATCTCTAGAATTGTACACTAAAATACCATATCATACCATCTGATTATAATTTTCACTAAGAAAATTCCATTCCCTATGTCTTATTATTAACCTCTTTTCACTTATTTGATAGCCAGTGTTTCAGAAGTATCTTGCACATGCAGTTGAACTAATGTGTTAAAGTCTAGTGTTGTTTTCTAGCACTGAAAGGTGAGCTGGTTGATGCTTTTGCATTTGCATTTTTGAATTATAAGGATCATGTGTTACTCAGGCTTGTAAAAAAACGAACAGAGTATAGCTAAGAGTAGAAGTATGGGGAACAAATACGCTTCAATCCTCACAGTTACTGAATTTTGGAGTGTGACCTTTCGAGAACTGAAGTCGTACGAACTAAGGTGCACAAGCAGTTCGGATTAGCAGTAAGAGACTTCGATTTAAAATAAACCAGCACAATGTGCATACATTTACTTCTTATCGCTTTTAGTTAATTTTCTCGCCATTATACTTATTTCCCCTCTTGCTTTCTTTCAGTCATATCTTTATTCATAGGAAAAGACTAGATAAAACTCAAAACTATATGAGAATGCAATCTAATAGTGTAAATAGTAGTCGAGGAATAAAGATATGATGTGGTTGTTGAGAAGAAAATCTTGTCTCCTCTGCGACCACGTCATATCTTTATTCCTTGACTATTTTCATTATTAGATTGCATTCTCACATAGTTTTGAGTTTCGTAACCAGGTCATAGGTATTACTGTGCCAAGTTTTTAAAAAATGTCAGGCGACCACCTAACAGTCAACTGGCCGCTGGTTTATATATATATATATATATATATATATATATATATATATATATATATATATATATAATTACCATTGTTATCATTCGTCCCTTGGGTTCCTAGTGGAACATAGGCCTTCAGTAGCACGTCGCCATTTCACTCTGTTCTAATCAGTCTGTAGTTTGTTGGAAATGCTTTCGTAACGCGCCAAGTCTCTGAACCATATAGAAGCACTGACGACAGATTAGTGTTAAAAATCCGGATCTTGTTCACGCTTTATGCTGAGTGCAGCGCAGTAGATCCCCACACTGATTTCAGATTAGTGAAAAATGGCCTGTCTTGCTGTCTATCCGATCCTGGCTTTGACATCTTCATATGTACCGCCTGTAGTATATATATATATATATATATATATATATATATATATATATATATAGTATATATCCATTGAGAAATTGAATTTTTTTAGTAGCATGTAAAAGATGTTTATCCTTGTTCTATGTTATTTGTTTTGATTTTGAAAAGCTACAAGTCTCCGTGACAGAAACAGATTCGCATGTCTTCATCAGTGTAACAGATACAACTACGGATAAATTTGGACATTTAGAACTTTCAGGAATAGAACATGTTTGTCTCGACTGTGTAAATAACTCCTCATATAAAGATGCTAATGCTGTATTTCCACAACTTACTGAATTACTTGAAAGTATTGAAGAAAGTTTATGGAAACCTGTCCTTCCAGCTCCTCCACTTTATCGTTCTGCTGAAACGGGTCATAAAAAGGAATCGCCTTCAAACAACGATGAATTCCACACCTATGTAAGTTTTAAATTAGTTGATATCTATCTCTTTTTTGTGATATTTATCTATTTGGTCTCTGGTGGTGTGATATATATTTTAGATTATACTAAATGATAACAATTGTAGACATATAATACGTGTAAACATGCACACTTTCATTTAATAGCCGAATTCCTTCTTAATCTCACCTACTCGTTTGGCTGCTTAGTTTCAGCTAGGAATTCACACCGCATCACTGCAAGTAATCCTTGATTTCATTACTAGTCAAGCTACGACAACAAATTTATATCCAGTTTTTTAACGTTGACTCACCAGTAATCTATAGTTTACAAATTTAGTTAGTAATACTAGTCAATATAAACTAGATTATTAATATTGTCTATAAACCGTTGAATTAATGGATTAAATTGACTGCAAAGCTGTTTATCATAAAAATAGGTCAAACAACAAGTCATTTCAGATTGCAGTGTACAGCGTAGCTGCATCGTCTGAACTTTGGAAGTCGTAGTTAGTGTTCAACCTATGTAGTGAGAATGAATCTCAGGACATTGGAAATTGATTAAAAGTTTAGTAATTCCTGTAGTTAGTAGTGATGTATGTAATAAGAGAGACCAGGAGTAGAGAGATGTTTTCTGTATATGTTGTAAAGAAATTTATACGTACCATAAATTAGATGAAATGTGACAGCGAAAACTAGTACTCTTTTACACTGTGATTCTTAGTGATTTATTAAATGACACAATTTTCTAATGAAGGCTACCTAAAACCTGCTGTGACAGAAACCATAAACTGGTAAGCATACATTCATGTTATAAGATGTAAGCCATATTTATTGTGAGTTCTAGCGGTACTATCTGGTGACCTAACATTGAGCAGGTTGGTAGTATCCGTACTCACGACCTACCAATTAAAATTGGAGTACATAAATCAACAAATTACAGTTCTGAATGTCTGGTGAAAATTCATAATTTCTTAGAAAAACGCGTATTGGAATATCACTATTTCTGCGATTAATGGAATTCATGTTTAATGGTAACGGTCAAACGACATCTGTATATTTGAGTGATCAGAAAAACCAACGTCTTCATGTATTCTGGATTTTGTTTCAAACAACTGATTATGACACGGTTTTGGCGAGATTATTTGCATATCAGAACCAGTCTTAAAGGGTTCTTCAGAAACGTTTGGAGTGCCTGATTTTTTATACACTCATCTACTATGGAGCTGTAGCTTATTGGTTTAGGGAGATGACTTTAAACCAGGGAGTTACGGGCTCTAACCCCGCTCCATCTATATTGTGAAATATCAAAGCCAAGACTAACATGGTGTGGTTAGTGATGTTTGGAAGCAGGCTATTTTTTCTAATGAGAATAGTCTACAAAGTTGTAACCCTTGACCAACTGAGATAGCTTTGGTGTGTAATGTGCATGCCGAACTATCGCCTACCCCGGTGTGCAACATTAGCCGAAGTAGGACTCAGAAAAAGCGTGAGGGTGGCAAAAACATGCCATAACACTTGTTTATGGAGCTTTTGACTGTTGATCTGAGGCATGCAAAAAGATGTGACAATTTGGCTTGAGTCCTCAAGGCGATAGAAACCAACGTTTGGAGACTCTTAGTGACGTGATTGGTAATCAGTTACAATGGTGCTGATGTATTTACTGTTTGACAACTTCAAAAGTTTAAATATTTTTAATGATCATTTACTTCTCTTTCTTCTCATACACTTTTATTTACCTAAATATCACTCCTTTTCTATCCACTTGTTCTTTGCACACTTCTGTAAAGTGAAGTAACAAACTGCTGCAATGTTGTTTCAGGTTCGTCGTTGGTTTTCTGTTTGTCTATCCCTGTGAGGATACGTGACAGAGTATCAACTATGGACAAAAAGTGAATATAGTTAGTGACAAATAATAAAATATTTTTGAGATGAATGGGGGATTTTTAATTTAGAAGTGGTATTCATCATGGGCTGACATCAGTTGGGGAACCATTGAAAATCTGGGAGCACTGGACAGCTGTTTCGTCCTAGTATGGGACTCCTCAGCAGTACGCATACACGACCCGGCTAGGGATCGAACTCAGGACCTTCAGGTTTCACGGGTCGTGGGTGCGTACTGCTGAGGAGTCCCATACTAGGACGAAACAGCTGTCCAGTGCTCCCAGACTTTCAATGGTTCCCCAACTGATGTCAGTCCATGATGAATACTACTTCTAAAATATTTGTTGAATACTCGAATATATTTCAGGATCTTAAATGTAACAGTTACTTGTATGAGCCTGAATTCACCAAATTAATGATTTCTAGGTTAACTGCCCCCTAGATTGGAAGTGGTCATACTGGTTACTTCATTTTACAGAATTGAAACAGATAACCCAGTGTGATTTGTCATCGACTATCCCGCAACGACTAATGTAACGATTCTTTAGGCATTATTATCCAGTAATACTTATACTCTAAAGATGAAAACAAAGCGAAAACATTGGTGAAACAAAACGTTTGCACATATACGTGTTTATGATAAAGGTAAAACAATTGTAATTTGATTTCCAGGTAATCTGGATTCAGCCAACGATCAGCAGTTAGGCGATAGATTCTTGTCAATAAATATAAAACTTCAATTTCACTCTCTCTTACAACTTTAAATATGCAACTCGATAAAGCTGCGGTTCTGGTTCAGCTCCCTGGGGATATATTTGTATCTATACGTGTTGTTCTTCAGCCTTCTTTCATTAACTGATTAGACAGATATACAAAATCAACATAGAACTTGGAATTACTGTGTAACGGTCCAAGATGTCACACCTAATGTTACCACATCAAGCGAGAATACACTAAGGTAAATGACCACAAATAAAAAAACAGTCAAAAGTGGCAGAAATTCATGAAAAGGGGTCAAGGACGAATTAAAGAATACTGAATTTCCATTTGATGATTAATATAAGTATAATGTATGTATGCATCTGCTCCACTGAGATCGACTGTGATCCATACCACCTAGGGGCTTCAACTACTGGTTTCTTTGCTACGTGGACTCCAACCGGAAAGTTCACATTCCCTTACGCACCTCAGAGCGACAGTCATAGACAGCAGGAATCGATGTCCTGTTTTATTTTCGTCACCTTTAATCCTTTTCCAGCTTGAAACTACTTGAGCTAACATTGTTAGACGAGACAGATGGTGACTAAGCATGCATAACGCATGTCCCAAACACCTCAGCTGATGAAGATTTTCAACCTCATCAACTGAATTTCCTCTTCTCCTGAAAACCCTACACTTGACGTCTACATTGCTGACGCGGTGACACCACGACACACGGTCTGTGCAGGAAAGACAGTGATGCTGGAATACCTGAAATCTTCTGGTGTCTTCTACCTTTAATGGATATGTCTTACGTCCATATTGTCAAGCGTAGTAAACCACAGTACAGTCCACTCATCCCTTACTAGGCAATCAGATATCATGACCGCCATAAATCGCGTATGTTGGCGAATGCCGAGTGAGTCTTCTGTATCCGTGGGGAAGTCTCGTCGATCACTGACCAACCAAAGTTGATCCGGCTTCTCAGATAAGTGAGATAGTCAGCACGCTCAACTATTTCACTTTCTACTGTTAGACAAGGCACTACTGATGACCAGCCATGGGGCAACAATTTACATTTAGGTGGTGAGGAATTCATCCCTAAAGTTTTCGAATTTCCACTGCTTGCGTCCAGTAGACTTTGGTTTGTCGAAGTCTTCATCTAAAAGGACTGTGTCATCTGCGTACTCTAGGTCTAAGGAGTAATCTGCTGTGACAAGATACGTCCCTGTAAGGTCAGACGAAGCACTCAGTTACCTTCTGCACATCCGTGCAGTAGATGGTGAGCCACACCTTTTGTGTGAGGGCTAATGATACTATCTGGCTACCGGAACCTCGGCAAGAGGGGCGGGGCTCGAACCCGTGTCTCAGTGGTTGATAGTCGTCTCCCCAGACCACTGAACCACAGCTCCGTTAAGTCGGACATCGAGAGGGAGACCTCCACGATTATACTGACGATAAAGTTGGATATTAGTAGAGAGTGAACATCCTTGACGTACACCACTCGACATACACAACTCATCACCATAGGCTCTAACACGATCACGGGTGCTCGACTATCCAATTTTCAACAGAGTGATGTACTTACTTGGCTCACCCCTCTGAGTGGGAGACTGCCTTTAGGCCTCTTCGCCGACAGAGTCGAATCCCACCTTCAGACCGAGAAATGCAGCCGGCATTGGACGTTGGTAACTGTGCTTGTGTTCCAAAGCCTGGCAAAGCGTAAATATCTGGTCGGTATACCCACACTTAGGTCTGAAGCCTGCCTGGTTTTCTCAGGTTTGCTGCACCCGAGCACCACTTAGACGTCGGATAATTATGGAAGATGGAGTCTTAGACACTGTTAGACTGATTCCCCTGTAGTTATCACTAGAGAATTTCTTGCTTTTCTTAAAGACTAGGACAGTCCGTAACTGAGACCAGTCAGAGAGGATCACATCTGACTCCCGTACACTCACACGTCAGTTAACCTGACCAGTAATTCATAAGTACCGTCATCACATATCTTCGATGCAAGTCCGTCGCATCTTTCTCGACTTTGAGTGTTGAGTTCCTATCTCAATGTTCTGTTTGGGATCTGACTGGATAATAGCCAACGCAACAGTTGCTGGATGCCAGTTGAGCTATTCATCGAAGTGCTGCATCCATCGTTTCAGTCGTCTCTTCTGTAAGTACACCCCATTCTTCTCCGCTATAGTTTCACTAACCACTAACTCTTTTGCCCCAGTTTCCTTGATAAGACTTGATAGCTGTCTTTTGTTACCTAATGCCGCTGCCTTTTCCACCTTTTTAGCCTTCCTTACCCCCACTATTTGCGATGATCGTGTAGATTATTTCGTGGTCTACATTTGAGTTGCTTCCACTTTTAAATGTGCTCAGGGCCTGCAAGAATACGTTTGCGTATATTCCTTAATTCAGAAGAAGCTGCTGACATCCATCTACTCTTTTTAAACACTACGAAAGTCAGCTATGGTCCTCAACGCTGTTTTTACAGCAGACTGAAGACGGTACCAATGCTTATGGATGTGATGTTCTTCTGTACCGATGACTGGTCTAGAAAATTCGTTGCTGAAAGTAGCAGTACTCGCAATGGTCTTGCTGCTATGGTTTTACCGCATCCAATCAGGTGTAGGCATATGCGTGCTCGAGCCAGTACTTGATGGCTGTTCAGATATATGCTCCATATGCAGTAATAATCTTCTACTGACCCTCTCTAGCAATAACGGATAACAATATATTCTATCTGTATCGACTGCTGAGTTGAGTCCGGTGGCTACCATGTCAGACAGTGTCTCTCTTTATGTCTGTAAATCGTTTTGGCCAGGAAAAGATGGCTATCTGAGCATCGCTGTAACAGGCGATCACCGTTATCTATTAGTTGGTCTGGAATTCCAAAAGTCTGATCTAAGTGCTTTTTTTATCTGACTTAGACTATTACCTACTTGTGTGTTGTAATCATATGCTAAAACAACCACGTTTGAACGTTCGGCCTGCATTAGGAAGCTAGACAGTTTTTGGTAGATTTCATCCAAACTCTAGTCACTGGGTGCCTAAGAGTTCACTGCCAACCAATTAGTTACGGGTTAAAACAAAGGTTTGGTGTGCAGCCTCAAAACTCAAAAGACATCTACTTGAAGGTCACACACGATATTTTTCGAAGTTTGAAATATAAGTTTGTTAATTTTGACTCTGACTAATAGTTCATATCTCTGGCATCGGTTTGCTGCGGAGTAAAGAGCAGCGTGCTATTTTAAGGGCTGACCTTTTCTAACTCCTTTCATTTCCATAGGGAAGGTAGCATCATCATGGCACTACAGGAACCACCACTACTTAGCCAGTAGCACGACTTCACCCTTGTATCGCCATTATATCATAGCAATTTACACTATAACGGTAACTGCTTTTTGTCTTAGGAATATCCAACTGACCTTTCTCGTAACAGCTGTCGATCAAGAATTAACTAGTCACAAAATTATCGTCAATTTTTTCGTGATTAATAGTGGTTGCATCAAAGAATTCAAGTTAAAATATTGTATTACTTTAATCTTGATTACGATTTTTATACAGTATCTGGATAAACTGCATCATATGAACTGTTCAGAATGATCGTTTTCAAGGTACTGGCATAGTGTGAGCTACCTACAAAAATCCACACAAAAAGTATGTATACATATTTTTGTATGATAGCACAACTATTTGTGAGATAGGAAAAATGGGTGACTTCTATTTCTTTAGCAATTTAATTGCAGCTGGTTTATAAAGATCACACTGATCTTTCGATTAGAACTCTTGAATATTTCAGATACTACGTCACGAAATCAATAGCTGATAGGACTAACACACAATGTCATAAAAAAATGACAAAAAGTTGTAGTTTAAACTCTTAAGACAGCTGCTTCTCAGAGTACTGAAAAAGCTTATGCTTTCAGTATACCTTTTTAAACAGAATTCTGTAGCGTATTCTTGAAATTGGCTTCAAACTGATTTCTTCGACATTACTACCGATTACATCATAGACTTAAGAATGAATCTGTTTTATAGCTGTAAAACAGACAGACAGACATAATCAGAGTAAAACCTCGCATACAAGTGCATCAGTTCAAGATGCCACACTTCGCCGCAGTACACAAAGGATAGGTGGATAAAAAAAGACTGATATCAAAGTCAACAAAGTTATGTGAGAAAACAAGCAGTTTGAAGATAAAGGTTAGTGCAACTGTTCAAACTTTAGAAAATGTCAACGAGTGAATACATCTCCACCTTTGTGACCGATTTTCAGCCATATCACCAAGAGTCGGTCCTCAACCACTGATTCCTATCGTCTTGGAGATCGGTTCCTATCATCGACTGGTGCTACATCTTGGTTTGGTCACCTTGATGTGCCATGGTAAGGTAAGTTGGATTAGATTGGGAGTTCAGGGTGACCAGACCAAGATGTGGCACCAGTCGATGAATACTCTTACTGTTGGTCTGAGTAGTGTGGGGTGGTGTACAGTGCCTGATAGGGGTCGGTCTCCAAGACGATAGGAATCAGTGGTTGAGAACCGACTCTTGGCGATATGGCTGAAAATCGGTCACAGTGGTGGAGATGTATTCACTCGTTGACATTTTCTAAAGTTTGAACAGTTGCACTAACCTTTATCTTCAAACTGCTTGTTTTCTCACATAACTTTGTTGACTTTGATATCAGTCTTTTTTTATCCACCTATCCTTTGTGTACTGCGGCGAAGTGTGGCATCTTGAACCGATGCACTTGTGTGCGAGGTTCTACGTTGATTTTGTCAGTCAGATGACTTAGAATGCTAATTTCGATTTAGACCGCCTCCTATCATACTTATTCTTCAAATACGGTTTTTCATTTATTTGCTAGAAATGTAATTCATTCTCCACCTTTTAACCTATACATATAGTCTGTTGTTGAAAAAGATATTTCGATATTGTCATGTGATAATTCTTGTTGTGCCTGATGCTTAATTTGGCGCTCTAAACAAACTGCTCTCTCTTACCAGTTCCATTAATTTCGCTTTCTCGGCTTCATACATTCTCATTTATTGGTTACTTTTCGTCTTAATCAGCTGTCGTATTAACGCTAACCTCCCGAATGTACTGTTTAGTCAGCCCTTGATAATTGAATTTTACTTTCTTTCCATATGTAGCCACAAAGACCGTTTACCGGCAATTATTCTGAAACAAAACCATCAATTGGAATACCACTCTCAGATTATGGTAGAAGTGATCTGGACCCGTTATCGAGTATTGGAGGCCCATCAGGTAGTGGCGGAATGATTTTTGATCCAAGACGTATGATACCCGATAGCCGTATCGGTGGTGGATCATTTTTTGGTGGACCTGATGTTTTACCACCTGGAGCAGTTCCTCCAGGTGCTAGATTCGACCCATTTGGACCCGGTGTAATGCCTTCAAGACCACATCTTGGTAATGGCCGTCGCCGTAACCCAGATCCCGATCACGCTTTACCTCCTGGATTCGATGATATGTATATGTAGGCCTGTAATAATAATAATAATAATACCAAGACTCTTCACTTCTTCAATTTGATTCAAATTTTTACCCACTTCTTTTGTTTGATTTATGCTGTATTATTCAATTTCAACGTCACTAAGTGATGTATTGTTTTACCGTATATCAAATCTCAGTTAAATATCAGTTTGTTTCTTCAAAAATAGTTGCCAATCAGTTGAAATATTATGGCCTTTGATATCTTGTTAAGTTTTCGCATTTGCTACCTATATTTTAAAATCTTTGATAGTGGAGATGTGGTTCATTGGATTAAACAGTTTACTTTCAATGAATGTCATGAGTGTTCAAACCCAGCCTGCACCAACGTAGGTTTCGGAAGCTAGGTAGTATCATTAGCCGTTGCACAACAGGCATGGTTCATCGCCTACATTATGAGTGTGCACAAGATTACTGACTACATATCGATTTTTTAAACCTATGACATTTCATATTTGATTCATTTGGTAGTTGAATTGAAAAGCTGAGAACCTTTTTTATTTCTGCTTTTTATCTGCTGACAAACTGAGCATACTTATAATGAACAAACTTGTGCATTGGAATAAGCTGTCGTATTTCTTCACATCATAGTAAGAGTAAATAAAAAGTTGGGTGAATAAACAGTTAGGATAGACTAAGTTGATTATGTAATTGGAAAGAATTATAGAATAATTAATTTTTCATAGTGTAGGAATTGGTGAGAAGTGAATTTGTTTACAATACTGAGATGGATTTCTAGTTCGTCCTATCACCTAAGATTTTCATCCATAAATTTCTGGTTCCCTTGAGGTTGTAACTGGTTATAACTCAGACACAAATTTAATTACCTTGTGTGTGTGTGATCAATTCAATAAGTATTGAATTAATTTATGTATTTCGAGGTCTTAGCTAGTATTCATCACGGACTGACATCAGCTGGAGAACCACTGAAAATCTGGGAGCACTGGGCAGCCATTTCGTCCTAGCATGAGACTCCTCAACAGTACGCACCCACGACCCGGCTAGGGTTCACCGTTTCCAACTTTTATTAATTTGCCATATAGCGCGACCATCATCCAAAATCTTCAGTTGGTATCCACTTCCTTCTCGACTGATTGACCCCATAGGTCACGGCTTCTCGTTAGAACTTCAGGATATCCATCTGGAAGCAGGTCATTAATGAGCACTAAACAGTAATGTATTTTGAGGTAAGTGGGATTTTAATTTCTAAGTAGTATTCATCCTAATCGACGACTGGCTAGTGCTCTCAGGTTTTCAATGGTTGGTCAACTGATGTCAGTTTGTGATGAATACTACCTCTAAATTAATTTATGTCTATCCTACAATCAGCTAACAGTTATTGGTAAACTGACAGAAATTATTCTTCATCAGTGTCCAGTGCATTACAATGAGTCGATTTAAGGCTAACATAAAAAACAGATTGTGACTGACAACATTCCAATTTATTTAAGCAATAATATGACCATAGACAGACTCAGAAAGGCTAGTGAACAAATTGGTGGATAACTCGAGTTTAGTGAAATCAACTATGGTATAGTGAGCGAATAAGTCATATATGGCATGTAGTTTATAATTATGATCCCTTAACTAAACTTTATTAACATGGCTTCCAACATCTACACGTGAACTGGCGACAGTATCAATTACATGTCAAGGAAACTATGACTTTGCGAGTCGAATTCGGACTACATTACATATGGGAGTTTAAAATGAGACAAACAGTTGGAGAAAATATCATTGATTTGAATTACTGAAAAAATGCTACGAATAAACTTGAAGAAGTTAGAAACACCACCTGTGACAAGTTTCGTAGCTGTCAGACCTCAACTGAAGTTATTGCAAAAGGACCCTACCAAGATTATTTCCAGATAAGTTATTTGATGGTCAAAGACCGAGCTAATCCGAACCTAAACATATTATTCTGCTAATGTTGATTTTTTTAGCAATCAATGAGCCGTGGCTCATTGGTTTAGGCACTTGACCTTCAACCGATGGGTCACAGATTTAAACACCACTCTACCTACTTAAGTTTGAACAACAAGATAGTATCATTAACTTCAATGTAAAATTAATGGTGACTGTGGTGTTCAGAATGCTTCACAATTAAACTACTCAGCTCAAAGGACACAACCGAAAAAAGGTGGAGCTTAATTTTGAGTCTTGATCATGACGCTACTTATAATGTGATTTAAAAGTATGATCAAAATAGTGTGTGGTGCTTTACTGTGTTAACCTCTGCGGGGCTAGGGAAAAAATACTTGTCTATCCCAGTATTAGTATTGCTTTTCATTTTGTCAATTTTTTTCTTTTTTATAATAATAATTCACTTTATTCCAAATAACTTGTGGTACAAATTGGAATTTCTCAGGATGATACATTGCAACAACAACAAAATATACTCCTTTACAACATTTCGAATTGTTTTACCATAAAAATTTAATTGATGTAAGGAATATTAAAAATGAGAATATTTTACGTTGTTAATTAAATTATTGAAATGAGATTGTTAACTGTTGCAAAGTTGATATGTGAGTTCTGTTCTAACACTTTTCTCCTCCATAATATGCTTGCTAGGTAAGGTACAGTCGAATTCTTATAATTAGCTCTACAAGCGTACAGTCTTATGTAGTTTCTTCTTGTCCTCCCTGAGGAGATACAGCGAGAGAGCTGTGAATGAAGTGGATGCTCAGTGTTAGTTAGAATTACTGTGGCTAATTGCTTGCTAGAATTTAAATGTGGTAATCAGTTGGGCCAGAGGCACAGCACTCACCCTACCAATGGCTTTCAAAGCCCTACGCAGTATAACGTAGTCCTTTTTTAGACGTCCAGGAAAATCAAAGAGAAAGATAAAGAAGAATAGGTAAAATGCAACAATTAATAAATTGTAAAAGTAGGAGTTGAGGTATACCAGAGAGCCTCAGTTTCTTTATGTAATACGTTACACGAAAGATTTTTTTCTGGAAGTCAACAAGATATGAGACGACTAACAAAGGTCAGAAGTAAAAGTCAACCCAAGATGGTTAACATTCGATTTACTTCCTGTAGAAATACCATCATGAGACTTAAGCAGCTCACCCAAGTCTTGTTTGCGCCTGAGGCTAAAATTAACAGTCTGACATTTAGTAGAGTTTAACTTGAGACCATTTGAGAGAGACTATTGGTTAATAAGAGACAAGAATCCATTTAATTCGGAGCAATTTAAATGAGAGTTAACTGGAGTAGGCACCATCAGTTCATCAGCATATTTAATAAAATTAGTTTCAACAGAATAAGGTAAATTGTGCAAAAAAACAAAAACAGAAAAGGATAAAGTACAGCACCTTGAGCCATACCAGGTTCAGTAAGCAATGAAATGGAGCACTTCCCTTTATAGACGGTATACTGTTTCCTTTCAGAAAAGTAAGAATACAACTACTTTGTAACCCATGGCTCAGTATGAGTCATGGCAAGCTTAGTTAACAAGATTGGTCTAGGAACAGAGTCATAGGCTGATGAGTAATCCAAAAAGGTACAACGAACATACTTAACAGCTTGGCCTTTTAGTTGAATACATCTGTCTTAGCAATTAAAATAACCAGTACAACTTTGATATTACCGTTCCTGTTAGCGTGTGATTAGTTTATAAAGTGTGGAATACGATTCGAAAGAGTAATCAGTAAACTTTCAACAAGTCTGGGGTTTTCATTCTACTCAACTAACCTAGATAGTAATAATACCTGATTCAGTGGATGTCATTCATACCTAGTACATACACCAGCGTGTTTGTTAAATGGTATAAGAATCTTGGTGATATGTCTGAAAATCGGTTAGAATGACGCAGATTTATTCACTACTTAATAGCTTTAAAATATGAAACATTTTCCCTAGCATTCATTTTCTCCGATGCACTTTTGTTCCTTTAAACATCACTCCTTTTCTCTCCACTTGTTCTTTATATGTTGCAGAGAAGTATAATCTAACTCTAATCGATACATTTCTGTGCCCCGTTTTGACCTTGATTTGTACGTTACAGTTGCGCTTTTTGTTTCAGTTTATCACCTTATCTATAAATGCTTAACAAGATAACAGGAAGTTTCTTACTCTTATACTAATAACAGTAATAACTTCAGCAGGCAAATTTGTTTTCATCATTATTATCCTTCTGCTACTGTACAACCATATTTGAATATAGTTAGTATGCATGTTTATTGGAAAACAAAAGATGTCAATATTTGTTTATTAATAACTGTTAGTAGTTTGTGACCAGGAAAATAATATAGAGATGTGAATTACGTAAGAAATGTGACAATATTTAACAAGGTCAATAAGTATGGATTGAAATCAGCAATCAAAGAATTCGTAACAAAATGAGAATGAAAAATGGGTAACGGAGCTACAAAACACGTTTGTGTAACAATGTTAAGATGCCTTCAACACACACATTTCCGATTTCATATTGTCGTAGCCCCAACAACTCAAAGTAAACGTTTCCTCCCTTGGTCTAGGGGAATACGTCATACCTTTTAGACTCCTATGAACGTTTCTTCCGAAGCTTTATTTCCTCTGTCAACCAGACCCTGTGATATGGAGCTGTCGATTATTCTGCGTTAACCCTTTGTTAGTCATCCTGAAAGGTATTGGCGTCTGTCTCTACATACCCAGCTCCACAGGTGAATTGTTATCTACCGATTGAAGTGATTAGCAGTGACAGTCTGTCCTTCGCACACGGGTTCACTGAGTGCCGGTATAGGTGATCTGTACAGTGGTTCCATAGAATATTGTTTTGACAACCTTCATTAGTCTACGTTTTAGTGTTTTATATCTGATGAATCCCAAGTTGAAAATTAGCTTCTTCTCCACATCGATAGAAGAATACTGATGGATAGAAATTTCAACACAGATTTTTATCCGTTAATCTATCTGATGAATATTGACTTTAGAACTTGAATTTCGTCTTCTGGAAGTAGAAAAACATATACACCTATTATATTTAAATGCGACTATACAGTTG